TGTTCGTCTGTCACTGTCAGCTGGCTGGGGGGAACGGTTCTCGGCCACCAAACGCACCCATGTTTGAACTCACAGGGGTAAAACTCGGGTGCTCTCCACCACTTGAACCCTGGACTCCAACTTCAGTGATAGAAACTCAACTGTGTTTCCTGGGGCACCCCTGAACCCAGGGGCGGGGGCTGTCTCAGCCACCCCATCATCCTCCTTCCCTCCCACTTGTGGTGTCCCCAGGCCCGTGGCTCGGCACCTCTGCATCTCTTCCCTTATAAATAGGAGGACGATCACACCTTCCTTGGCAAGATAAAAGTCAGATGGGGGGCCGGGGCAATAGCACAGCGGGGAGGGCGTTTGCCCGCATGCGGCCAACCCAGATTCGATTCCCAGCATCCCATAGGGTCCCCTGAGCACCGCCAGGAGTAATTCCTGAGTGCAGAGCCAGGAGTAACCCCTGTGCATTGCCAGGTGTGACCCCAAAAGAAAAAAAATGCCTGATGGGAGTGGGGGGTGAAGGGGACTGGGCAGGAGGTCAAGCACGTGCCTCACATGGGGGGATGTCCTGGAGAGAGGCAGAGACAGGGAGGGAATGAAACAAGGCATTTGAGTGCTCATCAGAGACCACCATCCTAGAGACTAAACTCCCCCGTGAGGACCCTTGGCACCCCCAGGGCTGCTTTTCCTGGTCCTCCCTCCACCCCCCCACCCCCTCCAAGTTCCCCACTTCCCCCCCCAAAGTGCACCCCCCAGGTGCCCTGAGACTGGCTGGCCTTTGCAGGGGACCCTCTAAATGTGCCTTTGTCACTTTTTACTGTGCAACACTCCCACGGTGCCTGCCAGGCATTGCTTAACTGGTGCCCACACAGCAGACCTGGGGGTGGAGTCCCACCAAGGAAGGCCTGACTCAAGCCCTGGGACCAAGTGCTGGACCAGCTGCAGTTGGCAGACCCACTCGGGCTCTGTGTGGGCCAGTACCATGGAGCTCGACGGCTGGCGACTTCCTGCTCCACACGCGCTTTGGGAAGGGCCGGGCATGAGCCACCCGGTGCCTGTCAGAGGGGGTCTTCACCCTTCCAGCAACTATATAAACTATATATATAGATCTATATATATTCTCTGGCCCTCATTATTATCATTATATATTATATATGTGTGTGTATATGTGTGTGTGTGTATATATATATATATATATATATATATATATATATATACACTAGTTTTGGTTTTGAGGTCACACTTGGCAGTGCTCAGGGCTGACTCCTGGCTCTGTACTCAGGGATTGCTCCTTGTAGGACTTCAGGGACCATATGGCAAGCTGGGGATTGAACCCAGGTCAGGTGCATGCAAGGCAAAAGTAGTACCCACTGTACTATCTTTCTGCCCCCCACATCATTAGTGTGTGTGTGTGTGTGTGTGTGGTGTTGGAAGAATCAAATCCAGAATTCATTCTTTCTTTTTAATTTTTTTTGTTTTGGAGTCACACCTAGCAGTGCTTGGTTACTACTCCTGGCTTTGTGCTCAGGGGTCACTCTTAGAGGTGCTGGTGTGTGGGGGGAAACAGGGAACAGAGCTTGGGGTCTCCCCCATGACAGGCCTGTGCTCAGCCCTTTGACCCATCTCCCAGCCCCACCCTGAATTTTTAAAATTTTGTTTCAGTTTAATTTGGGGGCCACCTCCAGCAGTGCTCAGGGCTGACTCCTGGCTCTCAGGAATTACTCCTGGTGGGCTCAGGAGACCCTCATGTAGTGCTGGGGATCAAACTTAGGTTCGTTGTGTGCAAGGCAAACTCCTTGCCCGCTATATGGTCGCTCCAGCCCTAGTTAGAGTTATTTTTCATGCATTTTGGACTATGAAAACAAATGGTGTGCCACGGGCAGAGACAGGCCGCTGAGGGGAAGGAACCCCTCCTTCTCTGCCCGAGCACCGGCTTTCTGGGTGTGAAACTGGGGCCTCTGTGCCCAGGGGCTCAGCCCCCCAAGGGGTGAGGGGTGTCCGGCAGGAGGTGCAGAAAACACACACAGCTCGAAAACGTCACCCCCTCACTCCTCCACCTCCTTGTGCTGAACTTGGGGCCTGCACCCCAAGGAGCTTGGGGGAGGCGAGAGGGGGAGGATGCTAATTAGAGTGAGTGGCGACCCAGCATGGGCACCGCGGGGGCCCAGGTTTCTATGGGAACCGAGTCCTTCCTTCACCTCTCAGTCGCCCCATTCCCACAGCCAGGCTCTTGCGCCCAAAGCGTCCCTGGGGCGAGCCTGTCCCCTGACTGCCTGGCACAGAGCAACCCTCCACCCCGTGTCAGCCAGCAGGGCGAGCACCCCAGTGCTGCAAAGCCCCACAGGAGCTCCTGGGGTGCTCCTGCCACAGAAACTCAGGGGCCTGGGGAGGGGCGAGGCGGGTGGGGGGGTGGTCCAAAATCCAGGGTCAGGGTGATGCGTGGTTGGGGCCAGATGAGAGTCCTCGCCATGGTCTTTTTCCTTGGCTTGTGCATCGTGCTTTCTCCCTGTGTCTCTGTGCCCGGTCCTGGGTCATGTCTCTGTTCTTCCTCCCTCCCTCCCTCCCTTCCTCCCTCCCTCCCTTCCCTCCCTCTCTCCTTCCCTCCCTCCTTCCTTCCTTCCTTCCTCTTTTTGTTTTTTCTTTCTTTCTTTCCTTCTTTTTTCCTTTTTCTTTCCCTCCGACTTCCTTCATTCCTTCCTTCTTTCTTTTCCTCCCATCTCTCCTTCCTTCTTCCTTCTTTTCTTTCTCTTTATTTTCCCCTCTTATTTCTCTCCTTCCATCTTTCCTTTCTCCTTCCTTCCTTCCTTCCTTCCTTCCTTCCGTCCTCCCTCCCTCCCCCCTCCCCCCTTCCTTCCTTCTTCTCTCTCTCACTGCCACACCTGGCAGTGCTCACAGCTTACTCCTGACTGTGCTCAAGGATCACTCATGGTGGGGCTCAGGAGACCATCTGAGGTGCCGCGGATCGAGCCTGTGTCACTCCTGCGCAAGGCAAGCACCCTTGATGCTTTTTTTTTCAGCCCCAAATTTTATTCTTGTTTCAGTGAGATGGTTGCAATAGTGTATATGATACGGATGTACTTAGAAGTCCTTATTTGTGTTTTGGTGGAGACACGCCTGGCAGCACTCTGCCTTGGGGGGGTCCCTCCTGCAGTGCTGGGGGTCTCACCCGGGCCCCCACATGCAAGGCTGCCTGCAGTCCTTTATTTACCGTGTTCTTGCCGACTGGCTTCTCTGATTGGTCATGGGTGTAAACAAGTCAACACTTTAACTGTTCTCCCTTCTAGTACCACCCAGTCGTGTCATCAATAGGCCTGGGTCGGGTCCCCGGGAGTTATCCCAAGGGGGCATCTTCCAAGCATGGGGGCGCCTACGGGGATCATCCAGCTCTTCCTACCGGAGAACTTTCTCCTGCTTTGATGTGCCAACCCCTGGACGTGAGACAGGATGACCAACGCCCTAGAACAGAAGTGACCCTTTGTGACTTCCTGTTTCCTGCTGGCTCTGTCCCGGGAGCTAACCGCCATGACCAGAAGCCCAAGCAGTGCACAGAGACCCCACAAAGAGACCCACGCAGAGAGAGATGGACCCTCCCCCCGGCTATCAGAACCTTTGACTCACAAAATCCACAATAGGGAAGGGCCTTGCCAGGAGTCACAGGAAGAGGCCGTGAGAGCGGGAGGAACTGCAAACAACCTGGACCCACGAAGAAAGGAGGTGACCCAAATGCAGGGCACAAGTAGATAATTTTTAATGTCAGTGGAGAACTTTCTGCCACACGAGACGCTACGCTGTGGGGGGGGGGGGGGAGACAGCAGCAGCCAACACACGGACATCTACTCTAGCTACACGAGGCCCTTAGCGTGGAGGACTGGGGTCACACACAAACACACAACCAGGCCAGGGAGCGGGCACGGGGCCTGGTGTGCCCAGCACCAGGCTGCCCTGTGCTGACCTCAACTGACAGAGTCACAGTCACCGTGAGGGGCTCACTCTTGCTCTGCCGTATGCTACTGAGTGGGGATGCACACACAGTCGTGTTGGTGAAGGGGGTGTGGAGAGATGGAACATCAGGTGGAATTTTACCGGATGGGAGAGGCGGAGAGAAGGCTCACGTGGGAGGTCCTGGCCCTCCAAGGGAACACGCAGACACACATGTGTTCACCCGAGGCGGTCCACACACGTACCTCCCGGGAGTCCCCTGGACTGACTGGAGACAAGGAAAAGCAGAGAGCAGCTTCTATGTAGAAAGGATGGGGTGACCACGGCATTCCTCCACGCATCTGTCTCTGGCAGACGCTAACGAGAGCATGGAGTGCTTACAATGTTGGTGTGGGGAGGGCGGGGATGGGTGCCAGCTCCCAGGACCCCCTGGGAGCAGTCTGTCGAGAAGTCACCCAGCGAGGGGGCCGGGCCTCCCCCCACACTTGGAAAAATGTCTCCACGAAGCCTGATAAGCCTTTATCTGGTCTGAGGGATGAAGTGAGTGTGGGGTAGGGTCGGGGGGTCCTCAAGAGGAAGCAGTGCCAAACAGTTTCACAGCTGGACCCATTGGGCTGGTGACCTATGGATGGGGCTTCTGGAAAGTTCTGGAAAGTTCTCTGGTCTCTCCTTGAGGGCAGCCGTTTTGTGGTCAATGGTTGGTATCTTCTCCATTCTGAGAGGATATGGGGAGTTTGTGTGTGTGTGTGTGTGTATGTGTGGTGTGCGTGTGTGTGTGCATGTGTGTGTGCACGTGTATACGAATAAAGGTGTGTGTGCATGTGTGGTGTGTGTACATGTGTGGTGTGCGTGAGTGTGTGAGTGTGTGCATGTGTACACAAATAAAGGTGTGTGCGCATATGGTGTGTGTGCATGTGTGTGGATACGAGTGTATGTGGGAATGTGTGTGTATGAGTGTGTGAATGTGTGTACGTATGTGTGCTGTGTGTGGATGTGAGTGTGTGTGCATGCATGTGTGGTGTTTGTGCATGTGTGTGAGTGTGTGTGTGTGTAGATGATAAGTACTTGACACATTTTTCCCCCCTCACAATGTCTTCCTTTTTGCTTACAAGCAAACGTTAGCGGTCAGGTCACTTCCAGCGAGGCAGGGGACACACGGTCACACTCTGCCCGGGACCGCAGGCTATGCCACTGCTCCACAGCTGTGCGGTGGGTGCTGAGCATCCGTCGCCAGTGGTTAGCCTCGGAGGGCCCCGAGGAGTACTGGCCGATGACCACCCTGCCGATGAAGTCATTGCTGCTCTTCACGTTGTGGCCGAACACTAGGGAGGGGATGGGGGACAGGGGACAGGGGTGGGCAGGGGAGAGGCAGGAACAAGAGAGAGCGTGAGTCTCCACCTTCCCAAGTGGCCCGTGAGCGGTGAGGACCCCGTTTCCTTCCACATTGAGAGCCCCCACACCACTTCCTCCTCTCCCCCCAGACCCTCTTCCTGGCCCTCCTGGCCAGCACATCCCCTTTCCCAGACTGGGCTTAGCCTCTCCCCTTCTGAGCGTTCCCTCATTTCAAAGCCACTGTGAGGTTCCATGAACTCGTGTTTGCACAGGGGGCCCGGGCTTGCTTAGCGCTCTATGGCGGCTACCCTGCTATTTCTACCCACAGCTTTTGTCTGTGGGCCTCGCGCTACCCTGATTCCAGGAAACAGGGGCTGGAGCAATAGCACAGCGGGTAGGACGTTTGCTCTGCACGCGGCCGACCCAGGTTTGATTCCCAGCATCCCATATGGTTCCCTGAGCACCGCCAGGAGTAATTCCTGAGTGCACAGCCAGGAGGAACTGCTGTGCATCGCCGGGTGTGACCCAAAGCCTTATTCCAGGAAACAAGGCCAGGTGTTGAGCAAGAAGTCAGCACACTGGGGCTGGAGAGATGGTACTGTGGGTAGGGCAACTTGTCTTGCATACAGCGGACCTGGCTTCAATCCCCGTCTCCTGTATGCCCCCCCCCCCCCCCCCGACCTGCCAGGACCTCATTTCTGAGTGTAGAGTCAGGAATAAGCTCTGAGCATGCCTGGGTTTGGCCCCCCCAAAACAACCCCCACCAAATGTAGCTATGTGTAGTCTCTTTGGCCCTGGGGATTCTGCCCTCTCTTTGGGAGACTCTGGGACTCATTTCTCATGAAGTCTTTCCAGCCTAATGAGATGGTTAACTTGATTGATCTGCCAAATCAACTTCCCCCTCTTTGTCTGCATGGTGTGTGTGTGTGGGGGGTGTTCCACACTTTCCAGAACTATAGAATGGGAAGCAGCCCAGATTCGCCCAGCTTGAGCCCCACAAAGTTGGGCTCAACCCCAGGAGGAAGGCCGATTATCACATAAACCAGCTGAAATCGGCAGCCAGAAACAGAGCTTAAATGCTAATGAGCCTGTGTTCCCCGGTGGGCTAAGCGAGCCAGCCTTCTGACTGAGAAGGAGAAGGGGGTGGAGGGAGGAAGAAAAGAGGAAAAACAACCCCTCCCCCGCCCCAACCTACAGTGCACTTGGCCAAGAGGCCTTCCCTGGCCTTAGAACCAAGTGTCCAGCACCTGACAGCTCCCTGGACAAAAACTGGACCTTGTGGGGATGAGTGATAATACAGCAGGTAAGGCATTTGCCTTGTACATGGTCGACCTGGCTTCGAGTCCCAGCATCCCATATGGTCCCCCAAGCGCTGCCAGGAGTGATTCCTGAGTGCAGAGTCAGGAATCAGCCCTGAGCATCGCCCGGTGTGACCCAAAAAGAAAAAAAAAACACCAAAACTAGACCTGTGGTGCCAGAGAGATAGTACAGCACGTAGGGTGTTTGTCTAGCACGTGGCTGACCTAGGTTCGATCTTGGTACATATGGTCCCCTGAGCCCACCCAGAGTGATTCCTGAGGGCAGAGCCAAGAGAAAGTCCTGAGCATTGGGCCAGGTGTGAGCCCCACACAAACCAAGCAACCAACAAATTGGACTTTGTGTGCTTTCTGTGCATTTGGTAAGGTGCTCTGTCTGCCATAGTATGGCTCCAGCCCCTGTCTATCTAAAGCATTTTAGAACAGCGACATTTGTTCAACCTTTGCGAAGTGAGCTTGTCTTACAAGCCCCCCAGTATCCCCTTCTCTGTGGACAGGGAATCTGACACAAAATACTATTCTGAGAGTAGCTCAGGCATCATTGGGCTTTCTTCCCAGGAGGTAAACTTGCCTGACTCCACAACGCTCAAAAATGAAAATGCAGAAGTGCCTTCTCAAACGACATGGGTTTTATTCCCCTGGAAAAAGGAAAGAAAGAGAATCCACTTCCGTGGCTCATGCTGAGAGAGGAAGCGGGTTCAAGCCTTTGAAGAAGGTTTAAAAGTTTGTGCCAATCCAGAGAGGTGGCCCTGGGTTCCATCCCCAGCAGTGCATAAAAAAGATCTGTGCAAAATCAAGGTAGCCCGACTGAAGGTCAGCAACTGTACATTTGCAGGCAGATAGAATGATCTGAGTAAGTGGACAAAGATTCTCTCGAGAAGGGGTTGGCCACTGAGAACAGATGGTCCCCAAACTGATTTGGTCTGTTGACCCATTTTTGAAAAAAAAATCACATAGCACCCATCTCTCCCCTAAATCTACCTTCTTTTTTTTTCTCATGTTTTACATTTTAATGGAGTAGTTTATTCTTTTCATTGAATTGTTTTATAAACACGCAAACCTTAAGGTTCAAAACAGTATATAATAAGCTTCATTCATAAAGTCATCCCCATCTTCTCCATTCCACATAATAAACATTTTCAGAAACTTAGGATTTATTCTTCCACTGCTTATTTTTTTTAAATAATTTATTTATTTATTGAATCACTGTGGGAAAAGTTACAAAGCTTTCAGGTTTAGGTCTCAGTCATGCAAATCTACCTTCTTTAAGCCAACAAACAAGCTATTCTCATCCCCTGCGATTGGTCTAGCGCCCCCTAGGGGTCATTCCACTCACTTTGGGAAACACTGAACAGGAATTTCTCAATTAAAACTGGTTTGCCACCTGTTTCCTACAAAAGGTAAAAGGTAAAGGCCCTCCCGTTGATCGTCGATTTGCTCGAGCGGGCCCAGTAACGTCTCCATTGGAGACTTTGTTGTTACTGTGTCTGGCATATGGAATACTCTCGGTAGCTTGCCGGGCTCTCCAAAATAAAGTCTTATTGGTACCCAGATAAACCCCTTTTTCTCACTGTTGCTGGGAGGTGGAGTGAGGGGGGTGATGCCATGCGGTGCCAGGGATTGAATTCAGGGCCTCCACATGCCAGGTAAGAGTTCTACCACAGAGCCATATCCTGGCCTTTCCCAAGCTCAGAATTTTTTGGGGGGGGCGGGAGGGTGATGGAGAGAATACCCAGCGGTGCTCAGGACTGACACTTGGCTCTGTGCACAGGGATCATTCCTGGCGAGCTCAGAGGACCATATAGGGTGCCAGGGATTGAACCCGGTCAGCTGTGTGCAAGGCAAACTCTCTATCTGCTGTACTATTGCTTTGGTCCCTCCCAAGGTAACTTGTTGACCACGCCAGTGCCCCTTACAGCCCACCACAATTCTTGTCTAAAACCAGACTTCCGGGGCTGAAGAGATAGCACTGCGGATAGGACGTTTGCCTTGCACACAGCCGATCCGGGTTCGATTCCCAGCATCCCATATGGTCCCCTAAGCACCGCTAGGAGTAATTCCTGAGTGCAGAGCCAGGAGGAATCCCTGAGCATTGCCAGGTGTGATCCAAAAAGGAAAAAAAAGGCTTCCTGTTCTTTCCCCATGGATGTTGCTGCTGCTGCTGCTTCTCCTTCTCCTTCTTCTTCTGTCACACCTGGCGATGATCAGGGGTTCCTCCTGGCTCTGAACTCAGGAATTACTCCTGGCGGTGCTCAGGGGACCATATGGGATGCTGGCAATCGAACCTGGGTCGGCCGCATGCAAGACAAATGCCCTCCCTGCTGTGCTCTCTCTCCAGCCCCGAAAGTTACTTTTTATGACATGGTTCTCTTAGGACTTGAGTCAGCCACTTTCCAACCTGCACCCCCTGTTGCTAACAAAGCTCTTTCTCGTCCATCTCCTGCTTGGAAGTGGCAATGGGACATCAGCTTCGTGGCTACAAGCTTTGCCTGTGTGACTGACCCAGTCAGTATTCCAGAGCCCAGGGCTGATGAGCTTCCCTGCTGGGCCAAGCTCTGAGCAGGTACTGCACCTGATGACTGAGGGGATGATGAGATTTTAGAATGAGCTGCACTACCCACAGATTCCCAAGGGAGCCGACAGCTGGACGCACCTCTCTGGGTTCTCAGTGGCCTCTGCCCTTGGCTGATTGTGGCCCACAGCTTCCCATCCCTGGTCCCCACGTGTGAACTGAGACCATGCGAAGGACAGATTTTCTGAGTTCCGTAAGTCCTAGCACAGCACTGAACTGGGTGACAGTGGCCTCAGGGCCCTCCAAGGCTGCAGGGACTCCCTCATCTGACCTCCCTGCTTGGTTACTTCTGTCTCACGTCCCCAACTCCCACCAGTCCTTCCTGGGGTTCTCCTCTCTAGAAGCCAACTCAGATTCAAATCATGATCTTAGGACCAACCCTAGCCAGACTATTGGGCTTGACTTAAGACATGGTGTGGCAACACCATGAAAACCCAAGTTGGTGTTGAAAGAGAAGATTGACCTGGATACACGAAATGGCAACACCCCCCCCCCCCCACCCAAACACATTGCTAGGAGTCGAGAGGAAGGTGCCAATAATTCACGTGAACACCCTCTCTTGGGCCTCGAGACTGTGCCGGTATAGAACAGAAAATGATTATCTGGAGGGCTGGTTAGCCAAATGGTGAAGACTGGTTCCCGACCGAGGGGAGAGAAAAGGAAGCTGAAAAAGTTGCCACGGCTGAAACTTCTTACCAGCAGGTATACTTTTGAAATAAAACAAAGGAAAGAAAAAGATGTCGCTATTAGAGAATCTACATCTGAATTTCCAGAAGGAATAAAAAGACCAAAAGGGGGAAACAAAATCAAAAGACTTGGGCTTGGTGAATCACTGGGGCTCTGCGAAGGTGGGGACCCCTGAAGGGGTGCAGTGACTGAGACACCCTGGGAGCTAATTGGCAGGCTTTGGCACTGGTGAATTGCTTGGTAAAGTGAGTGGCAATTAATCCTAGCTCTCCCTGGTGAAACATTTAAAATGAGATTTTTTAATAAGCAGCAGTTGAATGGAACGAAAGGCTTTGTGATGAAAGTTGTCTGGGAGGGCACCAGGAGTTGCGGTGGCTGTGGACACCAGGGAGGGAATGCTGGGAAATCAGGAGTG